AAGGAGTCGGTGAAGGTGTTAATGGCTCCACTGTGAATGGCGGTCAGTGCTTGTCGAAGTTCAGGTCCGAAGTCTGGTCGACGTGCTGTCTGATGTCGTCGACGAGTCAAGGAAGGACCTCTGATGTTCCTAGAGGCTGCTCCGCTGCAAGCAGGCGTCTGCAGGGTGGTTTCTGCGAAAACATCCCAGCAGAAACTGCTTGAGAGGAGCTCGTTATGTCTTTAACCGGAAGCATACGGGCCTCGCTATGTGGTGTTCGATTGGGGAATCAAGAGGCACCCGTGATAGTCCGAGTGCAGTGCTGAGTTGAAGTTCTTATTCTGCTCACTGCATCCAGGGACCATATTGCGGCTGCATAATTGAGGACCGGCCGGCGATTGCCTGTAGTTGCCAACAACGTTTCTTTGTCCTTTCCCATGAGCTGCCGGCAAGCGACTTGAGATTTTGTTGCGGCTCTGTACTTTGGCAGTTATCGCGGTCGTGAGGAGGAAAGCACAGACTGTCCAAAGTGACGCCTAAAATTTTAGGTTATTTACTGTCGGAATTTTGTGCCATGGCTGAAATGTTCAGGTCCAGTCTGTACTCCTTCGTCCATTGGTGAAGATGGTCGCTGGATTTGTGGGGAGAGTGTTAGTCTTGCAGAAAAGAAGCGAGAAAGGTCGGAGGTAGAGCAATACGTAACTGAACGAAGCATGACCCAACGCTACGAGGATCGTCCTCTCGCAGGGTGGCTTCTGGTTCAGGCCATGAACTATCTGAGCGTTTATGACGCTAAGTGCTGTGGTGGTACTGTGCACTTTACGGAAACCATGCTGATGGTCTGCTAGGCTCAGGTGGTGGGTGAATGACGGGAGTAACAAGGCCTCAAGTGTCTTCACTACTGGGGAAAGGAGAGTTATCGGGCGATAAGACTCCCCTTTGTTGGCGGGTTTCCCAGGTTTCAGCAGTGGGACCACTCTTCCGACTTTCCACACATCGGGTATTTGAAGAGTGGATATCGACAGGTTGAGGACCTTGGTGAGGTAGTTTACTCCCGTTGGGCCTAGATGTTTTAACATCAGCATGTTTATTCCGTCAGGGCCGATGGATTTAGACGATTTCGCCTTTTTGATGACACTCTGAACCTCCCCATCGGTGAAAGTAAGTGGTGCGCAGTCTTTTGGCATTTTGCGCAACCGTCGGGTAACACATCGTTTGGCCTTGTCGATCGAAGGGTGCAGTATAAACTGCCGGCTAAAGTAGCTCGCGCACTTCTTCGGGTCCGAGGAGGCATGGCCATCGAATTGGATTTCAACCCGATCGTCATGTTTCCTCGGATTTAACAGGGCCTTGACAGTATTTATCGTCATTACGACGTCATTACGACGTCATTTCCGGCAGTCCTTGGGAAAAAAAGTACCTTCGCGTTGATAGCAGACCTTCTTACAGGATTATCAAAAGCAAACAAAAAATAACAAGTGCTTTAGTTAAGACCCTAAGCTAGGTATTGGACACGGTAAACAAAAAACAAGTGAAAATTGTATTTTTCACAGGCGATTTTTTTTTTTAATATTAAAATTTCAGTGACAGTTTTTCGACATTTTTGTTTGTTTAAATAGTTGCAATTGAACAAAAAAATCCTTCGTTTAAGACCTTGTAAATTATATCTCGAAGATCTGTGTAATTTCATTAAGATCGGTTGGCTAGTTCACGAGAAATTTAGACAACCAACTTAAAGTTTCGACAAAAACGCGTTTAAAGTTTAAAGTGACCATATAGCTGACCGCCAGCGCATAAATTTTTATTGCTATATCCCCAAAACTATTACTCGGATCAACTTGAGAATTTAAGACAACATTCTAGAGATGGAAGAGATAGAATTAAATAAAATAATAAAAACAATTTTTTGAAGCCGTGAAACACATGATGTATTTTGTATTAAACCCTTGTATTTCGTATATTAATGGCCTTTGAACTAAATCTACTTCATTATTGGAAATCTTTTATATTAAATAGTGAGATTGATGAAAAATAAACATCAATGCTGGGAAAGCATTTATATTAATTAAAATAATTTTCCGTCTAAAAATCTGACATTTGGCTCTATTCCCTATTTCCGTTGTTATTGTCGTTGTTATCGTCGCTTCGTTTCTTAATTCGTATTCTTGAAGCAGTATTTTTAGTATTTTAAACTAAAATTAAGAAAGTATGATAACGCCCAATAACGCGATTGCATCTGAAGTAGTTGTTGGTTGTTTTACAGAAAATAATTAAACCATTTTGTGAATTTAAGTACAATAAGACAATAATAATAACTCCTCCACCTCCTGTTGCCAAGCTTCGGTTTTGTTATGTACCAATGTGTTTATACCCTGAACAAGGTATATTAAGTTTGCAACATTCAGAAGTAAACAGCGGAGACCTCATAAAGTATATCTCTCTATTATATATAAAAGTTTTCTGCTGCTGTCGAGAATCAACTAACATAAGAGATAAGCAAAATTATGCATGTTCGTTTGTGTGTCCAAACTTTTTTCGCTGAAATTGAAGTTGCAGTCTTCTGTCTGGAAATAAAAAATTGCATGATATATTCAGAATTTGTGTGTCTTTTTATCAGTTGGTCTATTTATCTCTGACGGTTAACATGGGTCGTAAACTGTTGAAAGATTTGACGGAAGAAGAAAAATTAGAACGTGTAGCACGTCGAAAGGAGCAATTGAAAAAAGCGAAATTAACATATAACGCAAAATTGACTGCGGAACAACTGAATAAAAAACGAGAAAAGGACAGAGTTGAAAATCAGACGGTGGAACAAGTAGAGACAAAACGAGAAAACAATAGGAATGAGAATTTGACAGTGGAACAGTTGGAAAAAAAACGGGAAAACAATCGAAATGAGAATTTGACGGAAGGGCAGATCGTGAAGAAGCGAAAGCGTGCGGCTGAGTCAACGACACGGACTCGAGCAAAAAAACAAAAACTGCTGTTGGGAGCAATGTATGAATCAGGGCAGAAAGTCGAGTATAAAGATACGGGAGACATGACCGTCGAATGCGGTCACTGTGGAGCTCTGTCGTTTGACGCTGAACGGTCGTCAAAAAATAGCTGTTGTCATGGAGGGAAAATTTCACTCCCGCCTTTAGACAACTATCCGGAAGAATTGGTCAATCTGCGTAATGCCAATGGTGAGATTGGACGACATTTTAGAGAAAATATTCGAGTTTACAACAATCTGTTTGCGTTTGCGTCATTCAATGCGCAAAATTGTGACATGAAAGGTGGTGGGCCGTATGCAATGAGAATTGTAGGTGAGGCACATCTCAAAGCCACAACTTCACTCAAAGCCGCCGCAAATAGGCAAGCCCAATTTGGTCAAATTTATATTTATGACAGCGGTGAGGCTTTACACCAGAGATCTAAGGAGGTTAAGCGTGAGGATGTGTTGACGATTATACAGCCGATATTGAATAAGAATCCATATGCAGATAAATTTCGGACATTGCATGACATTCAGGAAAAGAACCAAGACCAAGAGTATTCTTTGTGTTTTTATACGCGTGCAGAGGATCACGCGCGTGTCTATAATAAACCGACATGTGATGAATTAGCTGCCATCATATCGAGCAAAGACGGTGCGATTGATCGTAAAATTGATGTGCGAGTAAAGTAATTCGAAACAGGCGAGGAGAAATTAATTCGAAACATTGTGTTTGAGGAAGTTATACAATAAAAATCAAAAAAAAATTTACTGATTAAAAATTAAAAGTGTTGACTATATTGTTTTGTTTATTTTTTTCGCATGTTAAGTTTCAGCGAGACTAAAGGTAAGAGCGAGAGTGTGTGGCGGGGGGCGGACGTAGGCGAGCGAGCGAAGCGAGCGTCCTGGAGCGCAGCGGAGGGCGCCTAATATAATATAATATATAAACGGGAAACCTCCAGATCAAGAATAACTAACACTTGACTAATTCGTTTTTAGATTTTTTTTTTATATTAGATGCTGCAAAAATAGCTTTATTTCAATATTTAAATCATTCTTCAATTTGATTAATTTTGACAATAACAAAATGGTTGTGAATGTCAAAAAACCAGGATACTTTTTATCCCGAGCGACAGCATTCCCGTGTGACTTGACATGAAACGTCAGTCACTATAAAACTTGGTAAAACAAAAAAAAATCAGACTTGGAATAACAAAACGCAAATGACAGCTATGTAATGACGTATGGATGACAATTTGATATTTGTAAGAAATTAATAATAAAACTATTTCTATTAAATAAATAATTAACAATTATAATGATAGTGCCATTGCCCATTCGTATAAACAGTGAAATGAACTATAAAACTCGGTATGGTTGAAAATTTGAGTTTGAGTTTGAGTGAAGTGAAGTTTAATTAATAATGCCGCGACCAAGTCGATCGAATCTTTCCCAACAAAGCCGTGATGCAAGAAGAATACGAAATACCGCAAATGAAAGGACTGAAGAAGAACAAGAAATTGCACGTGAACAGCGCCGCGATAGTATGGCTCGACTTAGTGCTTCTCAATCACGAGAACAAAGTGAAGCAGCCCGTGAAACAGCTCGGTTGGCAAAGCAGAGTCGTCGAGCGAACAACAGAGGTCAACAAATAGATAATTTGCTACGCAGAACAAGATATTTATCAAGTGCTGATTTGAATTGAGCAGCGTTTCAATACGATTGCAGCAATGATTACAGCTTGCATCCTAGCGTTTGCATTGGGCAAATGGACGTAGTTTGCGAGTATTGTGGTGCATTAAAGTTTTCCGGAGAAACGCCTGGATTATGCTGTCTTAATGGTAAAGTGAAATTGCCACTCTTGACTCCGCCACCTGAGCCATTGTATTCATTGCTTTGTGGCGAAACACAAGAATCACGCCAATTTCTTGCAAATACTCAAAAATACAATGGTTGTTTCCAGATGACGTCATTTGGGGCAGATATTATCGAAGAACGAGGATTTAATCCGACATTTAAGGTATTTATTTTTGTACTTATATAGAATGTAGTTAAAGAATAACTTACTTTGTCTATTGGTACCTATGTAGTATATTTGCTAATTCTGAACTCTACTCTCCCATAGAAAAAAGTATTTATAACGCAGTTAATACTGTCTGGTTTTTATTAGAAAACGATAGTCATTGGGATACGACAATCGCTGAAGCCATTATCTCTGCATCTCCAAGTCAGATACGCACATTATTCGCTATCATAATTTCGACATGTTTTCCATCAAACCCATGTAACCTGTGGCACAAATACAAGGATAATATGTCAGAAGATATTTTACATCAAATTCGTGTCAGTTCCAGAAATCACGATATCGAGATGAATGAGGAGGTACATAATCGTGCTTTACTCTTGATAGAAGATATGTGTTACCTCATGTGCGGTAATTTATTAATCAGGTTAGGAATGCCAGCACCAAATGACAAAGCGAGTTCACTCACCTGTTCAACCTATATCTTAGATTGATGTCCCTAATTAACGTGCACCTGTGCGGCTACATGAATCAAATATTTGGCGCCATCTTAGCTCACCCTGTTTAGGCGCTAATGGAAGCAAAAGGGTGACACGTTAAATTCCAAAGTGTTTTTTGGTCAATTGTTTTAAAACGAAAACGACAGCGGGAATAGGGCCGATTATATCGACAACGTACAAGGTGCAACAATCTAATGATATTATTCAGTGACGCAATGTACAATGAAGCATTGATTGTTATAGAGAATCATTGCATTGTCATCAGCAAGATGTAGGCGAAGAAGCTCATTCAGCATTTAAGCTACTATTAGACATTTAAAATAACAAATATGCAGTGTGAAATAAAAAAAAAAAACAATCGTCCATGGCCAGAGTGTAAAATTATCATTTGTGATGAATGCACTATTGCACACAAACTTTCGTTTGAGGCATTCGATAGAATTTTGAAAGATATAAAAAAACAACGACAAACTATTTGGTGGAACTCTTTACATCTCTCAGGTGATTTCAGACAGATGCTTCCCGTTATTTCACGTTCAACGTATGCAAATGAAATCAACGCTAGCTTAAAATCATCGCGACTATGGCGTAATATTGAAAAAGTACATATGACAGTAAACATGCGCGTTCATATGCTTCAAGATTCATCTGCCGAAACTTCTTATAACTACTATTAGATATTGTCAATGGAGGAATTGCTATGCGTTAAAATACTGGATGCATAAAATTACCAACGAATTTTTGCACATTCATTAACTCACAAAATATTCGCACTTAACTTTAGATATAGATTCGCAATGATGATCAATAAGTCACAAGTCCAAACGTTGCCTGTTTGTGGCTAAGATTTGGATACAATATGCTTTTCCCACGGACAAATCTTTGTGACATGTTCTCGAGTGGGCAAACCCTCCAGTTTGTTTCTATTAGCTAAATACGGACTGAGCAAAAATATTGTTACTCGATTTAGTTGGGAAATTAATCTTTGTTTATTTTTAATTAAGAATAATTTATTAACATAAATAAAGTAAACTTATTAACATAAATAAAGTAAACTTTAATCGTCTACAACTCTTCATTCCTTTTTCAATTATATTTACATCCCCAACACACAAATACTTTTAAAAAATAACGTATATGGCAGATCAACGTTTGCCGGGTCAGCTAGTAATGTATATATATGTATATTAATGATCACCGTGACGAGCTAGTTGATTTAGCTACCATATCTAAAATTTAGAACACGTCTTTTTCTCCCCAAGAAGCTGCTCATTTGTTGGAACGACGAATATCGGACCACTATAACATATAGCTGCTATACAAACTGAACGATCGGTATCAAGCGCTTGCTGTGATATTTCCTCGAAATTCTTATGGATTATTGTCTAACGTAATAATGCAATCTCCGAAGAAAGGAATCTTTTGTATTTGTGAATTTCTTTCAATGCCTTAAATATATACACACATATGAAAAAGCTAACACCTTCATAAATATAAAAATGTAATTTAAAATTTTTTATTTAGTTTATGCTAACCGTCTTCGTTGTGGCATGGTTGAGTTTTTGAAATTCAAAAAATATCGAAATTCAATGTTCATCATTGTATAAAACTGCATGGAAACAATTTTAAGATTTTCACTAATCCACACGCAAAAATGTTCCACTTGGTACGGGTTGCCTATTTATATTCTACTACTAAAGTCACACTTGGTACGGATTGCCAATCAATATTCTACTACTAAAACGTCCAAATGACACCAATCTGCTATAGTGTGTTGCCGTGTTGAGTTTTAAAATTTATAACTTTAAGAATGTTTTTATTACAAATTCAAAAAATTTTCGGTTGTTATAATTCGTAAAGATTCAATTTACATAGTATTATTTAAATTATTATTTATTGTATTGAAATATTATTTAATGTCTCTGATTTTATCAAAAATATTATTGTGATCGGTGACGCGCCTATCTTGCAACCTCAAAGGTGGTGAGGAAAAGCAATAAATATATAAAACCCATTTGTTTCAATAATATGCTTGAAAGTCTTCATTATTATTTCCATTACGAATACATGATAATAAACAAATTGTTAAACTACATCGTTTTACTTAAAACTCTGTATCAAAAAAAGGCATATTTATTCAGGTGATCACAGTTGTTTCACACACATAGAAAAACAGCTGATTCTTTGGGTACTTGTTGGCTTATTCAATGGTTTTTATCCCCTTTCTCAAACTTTTGGTATATGCAAATTTTTCTTGGTGGAGACTAAAATTTAAAACTGCTTCTTGTTAGTGCCACTTAACACACTGGGCGCCCGGTTGCACATGAATCTATACCATTCGTTCAGAAATTTGAGTTCTATTATCTATTTTTTGTGTGTGATATGCAAATATGCATGCATAGAATAATAGAAATATTTTGAAAAATTGTAAATAATGAAAAAATTAAGATACTCAAAATCTGAATTGAATTTAGATATTGTTTCTGATAGAACAATGGGGACAACGAGGTATGGTACAACCATTGATACGGTATTTTCAAGATTCGTGAACCACGTATCTACCAACGTCCATGTATCTTATTTTAGTTACCATAAACCAATTGTCACGGTTATTAATAAGGAAGGCAATGTTGATTAAATTAATATTAAAAAAAAAAATCACAATAGTCAGAGTAATAATTACCTAATTAAATATTTGTGCACATCTGAAATTTACTATTGTAAAAAGTTTAATGTAAAATATTTCGCCGATTAATTATAATTAATGTATATAAAATGAATAAACTTATATTTATATATGAATATTATTTTCTTCATTAATTTGTAAATTTACCCTTTCATATGATATTAATCTTTTTTCAGTTGAATAAACTTTTTTTGCGAATGGTTAGATTCTCGTACTTGAGGAGTAAACTCCAGTCGTGCGTCGGAGCTGACACACACACAGTTTTTTTATAACATACCGCATAACCGCAAACAATTTTGTTGAAATATCATTTTATTTAAAACAAGAATTGTAACTAATTCAAGGATGTTTTATAATTAATAGAAAAAAATATGGAATAAAAAAATTATGGGATTTTAATACTTAAAGATGAGGAAATTCATTTTATAAATTTGGCCTTGAAAATATTAGTAGCGGGTATTCAATACATTCTGGTGGATTAGGG